TCCCCAACAAACCCACCCCCCTTTCAATTTGCCCCAACTTCACCTTCATAAAACAACCGACTCACATTAATTTCGTCCTGTTTCAATGCAATCAAAATGCTATGTACTAAATTACTAATTTATCAGAAGTATTGTAATATACAAGTTAGACAAAATAATAACATTAATGAAGATGAGCAAATGGTTCTAATACTTTCTAAGTCGGTAATTATCGCGCAGATTATAATAAATGCAGAGGGTTGTAAAGACCTCTATTGGAGAACCATTGTCTCACTTTGCTTAGAGACAAATTAATTCACTCATAATTACTCCAAAAACATTTATTAATAGGTGCAAGCCAGAACATTTGTTTGAAAGGGAAAATTAGAAAAGATGGGAAAAAATATGAGAAAAAATAATAATTTGTCATTATTGAAGGACGAGTTGAATTTAAAAAGGGCTCCCAATTCCTCTGACTCAAAAAACAAACAAATTTTCCCTTGACAATTGAGGGGGTGGGTGAATAAAATGTCTTACCATGTGTTTACACCATTGGCGGCAATAAGGAAGCCAACGATTATCGCTGATTCTCCTCGAATTTCAACAAAAATAGTCAATAAAATGAGTGGTTTTATCGCCTAAGGGGATTCAGGACGTTTGGTTCAGGATATGGAAACCAAAAGTCAGAAACTACCTGGAATATGCACCGTTTCATTCTGTACTCACGTGTATCTTACACGGTCACGATTGAAATAACAACAACAATATGTGATTTAGACTGGGTGTAACCAGTGCAGAGAGATAGAGGGAGAGAGAGAGAGACTTCTTGAGGCTATGTACGTCAGACGATGCAAGTATTGTGACCAAAACGACAACTTAGGCTAATACTGTTCCGGTTACCTCGCATGGAATAATTTCAGCATACTCTTGCTCACCAAATGAGTGGAACAAACTTAAGACCCGCAATAATGGCCCAACTTTAAAAGTAAATTCAATTTGAAATAGGAGTACAAACAGTGCGGTTTACTTACTTTAGATAAATATTACCTTGAAAGTATATATTTATTTATTTATATTTATATTTATATTTGGAATAAAAATCCATATAATAAACAATATTTACTTTCATATTTATTTGCAATAACATATATAATAATTAATCTCAAATCAAATTACATTATCCAATAGGTAGAAATAATTTTCTGCCAAAATTTAGCACTCCTAGTTGCAAAGAATTTTCGTTCTTATTACGACAGAGCTCCAATTCTTCTTCTTTTTCTTCTCCATGAGTACAATTTACAATTTCCACTCATAACAATGGATTTTTTGTGTTGTGCTTGTATGTCGAGGGGAGTGGGAGGGGGTGGGGGGTGGGAGTGGAGGGGAGATGTGGGTGTTGAGGGAGGTGGGAAGCGTTAATGAGGGAGGGTGAGGAGTGTGGGGGAGGGGAAGGTGTAGAATCTATCCACACCCGTTCTCTCTTAGACATTCCATTAGTCCAACAGAGTAATAACATGTCAGCAAAAAGAAGAATGCGTGGATACTAATGGGGCGTGTCATATTTAAACTCACATTATTTGGGTTATGAGGGAAGTTGGATTGGGAGGAAGGATGTGGGAGAAAAAAACCCCAGAAAGAGGGAGAGCACAGAAGCTATTTCTCCTGGGTAATCACTCCGAAGCGAAAGAAGGAGACATTGAACTCAATGTTCGGATTTTGCTGGGAACATTGTGCATATTAATCAAATTTAAAAAGAAAAGCCCACTACCAATTGAATACACCAGTTGATAGTCCACCTCCAATTTTGTAAATTCATTTTTAAATTACATGAGTTTGGATAGCTCGATTTCGCTTATTCATCTCGAAGTTGTAATTAGTTTTGCAATAATGACTACGTTTGGGGTGGTGATTTTTTTGCCGAATCATCTTTTTTGTCTTCTACTTTGGAATGTCTCAATTGAAAGGAAAGAAACTACAATCTCTCCATTTGTTTGAAAATTACCTGCTTCGCATAAATTTGTCTCAGATTTTTTACAATTTTTCATATTTGCAAATAACATAATCTTTTTGGGAAATGATAAAATGCACAAAATTTAGATACATATTTTGCTGCATTTAACAGCACTAGGTTGATTAAAAAATGAATATTCTTCTGATTGATTTTGGTGTCAAATGGTTTGCAGTGTTTTATGCCACCTAAATTTTATATATGGAATAAAATGGAGATCGTTTTAGCCAACTTTTATTTTTGAAATTACCCTTGCATACCAGGTTTCACCTTGAGTCAGCTCTCAAAAGCCTACTGGGTAAATAGATGCCGTTCTTTCGCAGCTATAAAAAAAGGATTTCATACAAAACCTCTCGATTATCTAGCGATTTGAACACAATTGTCAAATTTGATTCGGCTATTAGACAATTAAATGCACATCCAGATAACCTAAATAACCCTATTAGATCTCATGACACTCAACATCTGCTTTCATATAACGACGGGGTAGAAAATGATCCTGTAATTAGAAAATAAATTCACTTTTACCGAATGAGATTGGAGAAGGAGAAGGGGAGAGTGGATGGAAAAGGCACTTTGTTTGATCAATATTAACAGCAGTGAGCTCTTTGCTAGCGATCTTTCATTTCCATAGGCAAGAGTAAAAATCAATAATCAATAAGTCATGACCAGAAAATATTTGATGCGACCTTCTACCACCTATACTGACAGAATGTAGAGGGGTGTGATAGACTTACCTCCACGTGGTGCACCCTGGGCAACGTATTCTTACACCTTACCTCCACGTGGTGCACCCTGGGCAACGTATACTCATACGGCAAAAAAGCCTATTAACCGGCAGTTGACTTCTCACTTCAAACTACCATCACCCCACTGTATGTCATATTTCATACTGACAGAATGTTTGCATTTTACATTTCAGTTCACGTTTCATGCTCACCAACTCGATTTCTGGCATGTTTCCATCCTCCAAATTGGCCACCTTATCAACAACTCCATCAGACTCTTAAAGATGGCACCTCCATCGCCTACTTAACAGGTGAACAGCATGTGGACGCGGTCATTTCAAGAAACTGTGTGCTGAAACCCCACGACTTCGGCCATGATGGCACACTTCTACTTGCCTCCGGCTGGGAGCTGGGACCACTTAGAAATTTCTGTGTCAATTTAGATGTGGATAAAAGTCAAAAGCGACTACCTTGTGGGCTAATGTTCTTTAAAAATGAGGTAGGTCAATGATATTTTAAAATTTTTATCCTTTCACAAAACCTGGAGGTCACAGTAAAATATGATTTTATGTTTGTCAACAGAAGTCGCATTAAGAGCAACCAATGAATGGAATATGAAAGTGAATTTCATTTTCTCTTTACACTTTAGTGAGTACATCATTAGTTTTGTGATTTAAAAGTGTTCAATCTCCATTAAGGATTAATGCTTTAATGCGCCATTTTGACCCAAATTCTCTTACATTTTACCAGAAAAATAAAAAAGTGGAATTGAATAGATAGAAATTATCGATTTGGACTTGTCAGCATCTATAAGTTAATGCGATTCGTACAAGTGTTTTGCAGTGATAATTCAGGGATTTACAATCGATTTCTTACTTCTTCAACGTACGCGAGGTTCAGAGTTTAAAGAAGGATAGTTTAAACTAATACTTGATTGCGACGCGGATTGTTACGCTACTAAAGTCCTGACTAACTCAGAAATCTCTGTGGCAGATCCTCCTAGTCGGAAAGGCTATCGCGATGATAGAGAGAAGAAGGAGGTGTCATAAGCGAAACGTTTATTGCAAGCTATCTGGTATTGGTGAACATAATTAATTATCAAATAACTCTAGCATAACTTGAGTGAAAACTGATGTCAAAATATCGGGTTAATGCTCTGCACGTATGGTCATACACTCCAAAACGCTAAAACGCGCACGTTATCGTTTCAATACGTTTTAAATAACGCTATTGTCCAATCAAAATGAATGACAACTCATCCAATTGTATTGTTGACATTGCTGTCAATGGCAATGGAAAGGAAAGTTTTAATATGCCAATTTAGAACAATATCGATTAACAAGTTGCCCTCTGATTGATTTATTGATCATTTATCTCAGTGAGAACTTTAACTTAACTTATTGTTTAAGTATGCAACCGAGCAGTCAATATCCAATTTATCTAATCGATATTTTAATCCACTTATTGACTGAACTGAATTTACAGTCGAGGCATTAATTACCAGCTGCAATTAATCCCAACATTAAATTGTAAATTCCCCCATCGCTTTTGGGCATTTGAGTGTAATTGGTTAACCGCATGCATGAATGTTCGTCCATTTTTTGTTTTCCTCAACTCCACCTACCAACAGACGGTGGTGAGTATGAGAGGAATTTTGGAGGTACGAACAGAAACTCATGTGTGGCAAAGCAGTCTTGACATGCGCTTTGATCTCCACTGCGCAACATTCATTCGCTCCATCGCTGTCGCCAATACAACCAACAGTCGCGCTTTAGCCAAATCCGCATCTTCCTCCACTACGGCTGCTGTCGGAGCGAGCAGAATGTCTGAAATTAAACCCCCAGATCATCCGCCCTTACCACAACAGCAGCAACAATCCGAGGGCGTTTGGTAAGAATTCCGGCCAACACAAAAATTGATTTAATTACTTAAAATTATGCCAAATTTCCAATGAGCCAATCATGAACATTTTAAAATCCAAACTTGATGTTGCCATCGTCTTCACCTTTTCCTTCTATAATTATGATTCCATAAATAGTTACACAGTTGGCGAGTTGATTGATGGACCGAGTTTTGTGGAATCGTTGCAATGTGATAATTTCTTGTGGCACAGTGATTAGTAGAAATGGGAATGACTTTAAGGGGATTAGAAAAGATTGCCAGCGAAACGAATACTAACCCTCTGCACTTTCTAGCATATACATGTCATCACAGGTTTAAGTAATTTAGCTGTAGTTTAAGAGTTCATCAAATCTGTAGTTAGTTTTCGCTATATTTCCTTCACTCACCTACAAAATTGCTCATCAGCTTCATCTCCTCCACCCTCAATAGGTGACCTGAACATTGATTCTTCAATCCTTATTCACCAGATTTGAGGTATTATTATTATTATTTCAAATGGCAGGATTTATGTTATTTATCATTATCCCTTAAACCTTAACTTCGGCCTCCCCCACGGGTGGGGGGTACATATCTAGCAGTTAATTAATAGCAGCTCATCAGTTGTCTTCTGGCTTCCCAGTATCTCTGGCTTTCCGTCGTTGTCTTTAGGGTTGGACACCGAATCAGGTGGGTCTTCTCCATTGCCTCCTGTAGGTTACATAGAGGGCATGTTGGTTGAGTGTATACTCCCAATCTGTAAAGGTGCTTCCCCATGCAATCGTGTCCGGTACGTATTCTAAACTCAGCAACGGCTTCGATTCTTGGCCAGTCGGGTATGTCGGAGAGTGCCACTGTCCACTGTTTCTCCCTTGTTCGAGCTTTGAGTTCGTTGCACCTTGAGGTCTTGAATTCTCTTTTGATTAAGGCCTTCATTGTGTGGAAAGACATCGGTCGGTCCATGCATTGCAAAATCGTTTTCCCCGTCTTAGCAAGTGCGTCAGGTAAAATATATATAACTGGCCAAAATGAAACAATTTTCCTAATTTTTAAGTAGTAATGAAATGTTTCGGTCATAGATGACTGTCATTGTAACCTAGTTTTCGGCAAAGCCTTTTAACGACACTTTTTTGACCATTAGAAAACAAAAAATTTTAAATTACCGAGGTTGTCATGATTTTTTTTAATTCATATGCCTTGGTCGTAATTTTCTCAGAATGAGACAATTAAGGATGGAGAGGGAGAATGTACTAACCCAGAAATCGGCCACACTATTAATCACCCCCTTCCCATTATGATTAATCTGTCCACTTTTGTGTTTAACCTATCTTGTCAACCGTCACGAGAGTTGACTACGGGTCCCATCTCGTGTTCTGTCCCTGTTGCCAAGTGTGGGTTGTTTAATGGTGAAGCCATCTGACTCAACCCGTTGCCCCAACAGCTCTCACTGATGAGAGCCGTATGCTATTTTTTACACCAATTTTGGAAGCATTAATGAATAGGAGGAGCAGAGTGTGGATACCAGAAGTAACACTTCAGTAGAGACTGACAGCCTCTCTAATAAGGAGTTACAATTGGTTGCGGGCTGGAGGAGTTGAGGGGAGGGGAGGGTGATACGGGCTTCTGTCGAGTATCCTTATTGGCACAAGTCCATCAATCTACATTTGGCGAAGGGATAATGCAAAAAAATAACAACTACTATTCGTCTAGTTTGATTAAGGAAAAGCTAAGCTACCTTTGGCTTACTTAAGGCGTTTACCAAGATTAAAGTTTATCCGAATAAGACATATCTCACTCCAGTTATCTGAACCAGTCATGGAACCTGATACGGATCTATAATGAAAGAATCAGTTTATAAATAGAGTTATTTCCATGAGGCATAGTTTTTTTATATTACGGGCGTGATATGGTCCCACCAGGTAAAGAGATGACTTCACTTCTATTCGACTGGTTCTGCATGAAGTTAATCAGTATGACATCTGAACGTATTTTTTTCAAAATTCACCTTCAAAATAGCGCAAAGTAAAGATTCAATGTGATTTTCTTGAAAGAAGTCCTACATTTTCCTTGTCTGGAGGGTTTGTTAGAGCATGATGGCAGCTGTTTTAGCTAGACAAGAACTAATATCATTAAGATATGCCACATTAATTGGATACAATACCCACTAGAAAACATGTCTTTTCACTCAATTAACTTACTTGATTCAAAAAATAGGTACCTCTCATTGTATTATAATGAAATGGACATTTGAATGGTTATTGGCTTTTTTAACGCACAACTTTTCTAATGCGTTAAAAAAGTTGTATACTACGCATAGTAAATTGTTTAGGCTATGCATGAATTCAAGTCGGAATACATATTTTACCAGGGTAAAAACATGATCATAGTTCATGCCAGAACCTAGATGGAAATCACTTATTTTTAATATTTATTTATAACAAATGGCAGGCGTTTTGATAGTTATCATTAGCCCTTTGGTTGACTTCG